GACCCACATATGTGTAGCAGAATGAATGAAGAAAAGGGCAGTCCCACTGGCAACAAGATCTAGAGCAAGTACTAGACCTCTCATCTGGAGAAACAGGCAGATCATGAAGCACCTTATAGGCTGTGTTAAGGAACATACGTTATTTTTATAAAGAGAGAAATATCAAAAGTGTTAAAAAAACAAAAAGCAGGAAGAAAGACTCCACGTTGGGTGGGCAGTTATCAGTGTCAAATATTGCAGAGTAGTTAAGGGCAAATATTTGTGAAAAGGCTACTGAATTCTATAAGCAAAGGTCACTGGCAACCTCAAGAGGAGTAACAGTGGCAAGGAAGAGGAGTTCTGTAGTTCCTAAGACACAGTCCCCTAGCTGAAATGGCCATTTTGCAAGTTAGAAGTGCTGAAGCTACATCAGGCTGCATCCACCATGGCTGGGTACCCTGAGCTAACGACTTGAGGCTAATTTTCAGCAGCCTTGGATGTGATGACACAATATTAAAGGCATCAAAATTAACAGAACAGATCCAAAAGCCACTAACAATGACCCTTCAAGAGGGATCTCAACAATGACCAGTTTTAAATATTGAATAATGAAATTCCTGCTAGTAGGTCTTTTTGTTTCTTTTCCTTTTTTTTTTTTTTATTTTTTTTTTTTTATTTTTTTTTTTTTAAATTTATTTTTGGCTGCTTTGGGTATTTGTTGCTGTGCGCAGGCTTTCTCTAGTTGCAGCGAGCGGGGTCTACTCTTTATTGCAGTGCATGGGTTTCTCACTGCGGTGGCTTCTCTTGCTGCAGAGCAGGGCTCTAGGGTGTGCGGGCTTCAGTAGTTGTGGTATGCAGGCTCAGCAGTTGTGGCGCACGGGCTTAGTTGCTCCGCAGCATGTGGGATCTTCCCAGACCAGGGCTCGAACCCATGTCCCCTGTGCTGGCAGGCGGATTCTTAACCACTGCGCCACCAGGGAAGTCCCGGTCTTTTTGTCTCTAGCTGCCCTATGTAATTCCTAGTAGACTTCTTTATGATAGGATTTTGATCGTTTCTTTGATTATATACTTTCCTCTCCACTATCCCTAAAATCGATGACTAGGATAGTAACACTGACTTAAAGACCCCTTTAAATATGTTCTTCCTAGATTCTCTTGGTATTGAAGCATACTTTGTAATATGAAATAAAGGTGATACAATATGGCTCTTTTCTGTACCGTATAATATCTTTTAGTGATCCCCTGTGCCTCCAACAACAACAACAAAATTTTTTTAAGGAAAAGAAATTAATCCTAAGTCAGTCTCTTAACAGGTTTTTGGAAGAAATTTTACCAGTCCATTAAATGTGAAACCATGGTTTTATAACAGAAAGATAAAAAAGAATATCACATTTCTATCTCTTTACTTCCTCCAACTGAAAAGAAAATAGTTAAAAAAGAATTAGATGCATTAACCAAGAAGTTACTGCTCCTTAAAATTATATAAATATCCTAATCAGGTACATCCTCCACTGAAAAGTCAAATGGAAGTTATACAAATGCCCTAAAAATATTCACCTCTAAGAGATAAGAGTTTAAAACATTTTGAATTTCATACAACTGCAAGCCAACCCCAAAGCACATAATAATACTTACCCTATATTCGAAATCTGCAAACTCCCTGCCCCCACGACCTCCTCTGAATCCACCACGAAATCCTCGAGGAGTGGCAAAGTTACCACCTCGGCCGCTACCACGTCCTCGGCCACCACGGAAACCAAGACCTCCCCTGCCTCTGTACCCTCCACGGCCACGGTTTGGACGAAGTGGGATTCCAAATGTTTCTGCATTTAATCTTCTTTCTTCAGCCCAGGTTGGTCTCCGTTCTCTATTATGAGAACAAATAATCTTTAGTGTATCAAGTTTTAAAGAACATTTTCCAGCAAAACTATGCAGCACTGATTCCCAAATTAAGGCTAAGTAATTCCTAAGAATCAAATAAAAATAAGCACCTTATCTAAGTCATCACAAGCTGTCCATGGCAATATGTTCCTATAATTCATGTGAAAATATGACTGGTATTAAGCTTCTTGCAAACGCAGTTGATAATACAAAGAAACTGACAACAGCCCCAATAAATGGGATTGGCAATTGACTCTACCCTCCAATCAGCCCCAAAGGAAGAAAGGGCAAAGCCAGGAAAGGAAACCCTGTCTCAGGATGTGAAGAGATGGAGGATAGATCCCTGAGTTCCTAGTACGCTCCTGGCCCAACCTCTGAACCTGACGCCTGAAGCGTCTGAATTGCTGCTGCTGGCCCACAGCCCAGATAATCAGAGGATTCAGAATCATCCCCGTCCACGTTTAAAGTGAAGTAGAAAACTGCCACCAGGTGGCACCAAACTGCAGCCTGGAGGACAATTAGGATCAGGCAGCAGAAACCCTGGAACTCTTAGTTTGTTATGTTGGATCCTTTAATTAACCAGTTTTCTGGATCCACATTTACTGCAATATAGCAGAGCTTTACTGTATCAGCAAACTTCATCTGAACTACATTGTAGAGGGGTAAAGTAAAAGGTGTTTAGGTGTTAGATGAACGCCTCTATTTTTATTTACTAATTTTCAAATGTGAATGCATCCCCAAACAAAAGTATATGATTATTTATTTTTCTCAAAGAGCAATATCATTTAAAATTTTAGTATAAATTATTTTCTTTTAGCAAAATAAATCATTAAACAATTGTAGTCATTAGATTTTTTTTTTTTTTGGCCACACATTGCCGCATACGGGATCTTGGTTCCCCGACCACGGATTGAACCCGTGGCCCCCCCACCCAGGGATTGAACCCGTGCATTGGAAGTGCGGATTTTTAACCACTGGACTGCCAGGGCAGTCCCTAGATATTTTTAAGTATTCATTAAACTTTGTGAATTTATAAGAATTCATTTCACACTTCAACCTCCTAAGAGCATAAGAGCAGCTTAAAAGACTGTACCTGTTATCATCACAAGAAATATTATCAAAGAAAGATTTAGTTTTGTCATAATAGCAGTTAGGTCCAAGTGGATCTTCTTCATCTGCATTTCCTTCACTGTTTTGGGTATCAACTCCTGAGTCTCCTTTATCTTCACCATTTACAGGCTTCTCCTGTTTCTCAAGTTTATCTTCTAATGAAAAACAAGCACATACCATAAAAGTCAAGACTTGTACTAAACATCCATAATTCACAAGTCAAATAAGAGTATTTTTTGAATAGAAAAATAAAAACTCACCTTTCAATTTAAGTTTATTATGAAACTCTCTGTCGATTTCCTCCTTGTTAAATTGTGCATTTGCACTTTCAAAGTCAAAGTCTTTCTCAAATTTCATTGGACCATCTCGTCGAATACCAAATCTTCCCCTGCCACCTCGATGACCCCCACGCCCTCTCCTTGGAGCTGAAGGAGCACCTGGAACTATATTAATAAAGAAAGAACAAGCTGGTTTAGAGCAGAAGCTATTATTGTGGTCTTTATGGTCAACAAGAGAAATGCTTACAAGTCTCTATACACATGACGATATTTGTATTTTTTAATATAAAAAAGATGAAGTTTCACAAACATTTAATACATAATAGACTGAGAAGAGCACATATAAAATTTATAAACATGAAATTTATAAATGGCACACATGAAATTTATATCTATGGGGTTTACACTCATACATGCTACTGATACAGTATACAACCAAACAATTTGGAAGACTTCTGTACTAAATTACTTTGTTCTTCTTATATCCCTAATACCTACAAAATGTCAAATATATATTGGGTTCTCAAAATTCAGGAAGACTTTTATGGAAAGGATCATAGAAATCAAGATTTATAGTGAGAAAAATAGATGAACATTTAGCAGCACAAATTGCAAGATAACACAAAAGACAAGAAGAAGTACATGGTCTCGGATTTCCCTGGTGGCGCAGTGGTTAAGAATCTGCCTGCCAATGCAGGGGACACGGGTTCTATCCCTGGTCCGGGAAGATCCCACATGCCGCAGAGAACCAAGCCTGTGAGCCACAACTACTGAGCCTGTGCTCTAGAGCCAACGAGCCACAACTACTGAGCCCGTGTGCCACAACTACTGAAGCCCACGCGCCTCGAGCCCGTGCTCCACAACAAGAGAAGCCACTGCAATAAGAAACCCGTGAACAGCAATGAAGAGCAGCCCCTGCTCACTGCAACTAGAGAAAGCCCGCGTGCAGCAATGAAGACCCAACGCAGCCAAAAATAAATAAATAAATTTATATTTTTTTAAAAAAAGAAAAGACGTACATGGTCTCAACCACTCCAACCACTTCCTGCTTCACCTTTACTGTCTCCCTCTAAATGGCTCCATATTTTTCAAGTCTTCCTGTATCTATTTTTCTCTACAATTTAATACAATATCAAGATTTATGAGGTATGATAAAGCAATACCAAAGTAGCATAAATTATAGTGAAAACTTGAGAACCCAAATATCCAACACAAGAGGAACAGTTAAGAAAAAAATTAAAAGAGAAACATGGAATAGTATTTGATGTTGGTTAACAGAAAAATATAGAGCACAAAGCACTATGATTTCAATGATTATAATTATGTGAAATGTTTAACACATACTGATAAAGATCAGAAGTGACTACAGAGTAATAGACAGGTTTGTGCTCACTGTTCACTAAAATTTGGCAAATTGTCTAAGTTTGAGAAAACAAACCTCAAAAACCCACAGCAGTATATCCAGACACTTAAATCTAGACAAGCAGGATGTTTAAATATTCAGCTCTACTACTGAAAATGTCTTGGCCAAAAGCCAGAAATTACAGCACAGTATTTCTGTCTTAAATTTTGAAGGGCAGTGAGAGATACTTTTATTTATTGTTTTACATGATTTATATTTTATTTTTTAAATTGAAGTATAGTTGATTTACAATGTTGTATTAGTTTCTGGTATACAGCAAAGCGATTCAGATAGACACACACACACACACACACACACCACACACATATATACACATATTCTTTTTATATTAAAATATGCAGTGCTTCATGAATTTGCATGTTATCCTTGTGCAGGAGCCATGCTAACCTTCTCCGTATCGTTCCAATTTTAGTATATGTGCTGCCAAAGCATGCACTACTTTACACGATTTTTGAATGATGGAAGCATGGCAATTATTTTATCTTGAGAAGAGAGGGGTTCTTTTTCCAAATTAAAAAAAGTGAAACATAGTAAACCAAACCAAAACCTGTGTAATTCTATGGCACACAGCACAAATAAAATACATATAGGGACTTCCCTGGCGGCCAGTGGTTAAGACTTTGCCTTCCAGTGCAGGGGGTTCGGGTTCAATCCCTGGTTGGGGAGCTAAGATCCCACATGCCTCATAGCCAAAAAAACCAAGACATAACTCAGAAGCAATATTGTAACAAATTCAATAAAGACTTAAAAAAAAAATGGTCCACATCAAAAAACAACAAACAAAAACATAAACATATAAAAATGTACAGAAGAAATAAAGTGTTTATACATTTAAAATTGTACCTAGCTTTCTAAAATTAAGTGAAAGAGCATCTTCCAATTATTATGTAATTAAAGAGATCACACACTGCTTTTATTTTTTAATTTGGAAGAGTTTATAATTATAATTTATTCTCTGCTAATAAATTTGAGAAGAATAAAATGGATGGATTTGGGGTAAATGTCATAGATTACAAAACAGATAAAGTATACAATCATATTAAATCAATAATAATGAAAGAAAGTTAAAGTCCTTGAATAATTACTTCAAAAAAAAAAGGAGCCCAGACCTTAATTTTAATGAGAAAACTTCTCAATTTTAAAGGTACAGGTAATTCAATTCTTTTTTAAAACATTTATTGTATTGAAGCATAGTTGATTTACAATGCTGTGTTAACTTCTGTTGTACAGCAAAGTGAGTCAGTTATATATATTCTTTTTCATATTCTTTTCCATTACGGTATATTACAGGATATTGAATATAGTTCCCGATAATTCCATTCTTTTTTTTCTTTTGGCCATGCCACGCGGCTTGCAGGATTTTAGTTCCCTGATCAGGAATTGAACGCAGGCCATGGCAGTGAAAGCACTGAGTCCTAACCATTAGGCCACCAGGGAACTCCCAATTCCATTCTTAAAAGCATAGAAAACAATTTTATAATGCTAACATGAAACTGACACAAAAACATAAAAAAATACAAAAGACAGTACAAAAGAGAAAGCCATAAAACAATGTAAATATAAATATACAAGTCCTACTTGCAGATAACATTCAAGAATATATCAATAGACAACTGCCGACCATCAAGTAGGGTTTATTCCAGACACGTGATTAAAAAAAAAAATCTTTTGAAATAATTAGGTTAAAAAAAATTGAAATAAAAGTAGAGTGGTCCTATGTGCCTATCACCCAGCTTCCCCTCCAACAGTTACATCTTGATTATCTATTGTACATTATCAAAAACCGGGAAAAACCAGGACACTGGCACAATATAATTAACTATACTATAGATCTCATATTCAGATTTCAACAGTTTTGGATGTTCTCATTTTTTCATATGTCTTTATGTACAGTTCTATGACATTCTGCTACGTATGCAGATCCACAGTACCCCCACCATAAGATAAAGAACTGTCTGTTACCACAATGAAACTCCCCTGTGCTACTCCTTTATAGTCACCAACCCTTGCTATTCTTTCTTTATAGTAATTATGCATCATACATTTCAAATGTTCCCTCTATTGAAAAGCATAGGATAAGGCTTTCAGATCCAAATAACAACTTACCAATTTGTCTCTTGCTATCATTTCTGAGTTGCTCATTTTCTGGTCTTGAAACCTTGTGTACTTCAGCTATAGAACACACAGAAAGTGACAGTTAACTTAGGACACATAATCAAGAACTTCTGGAAAGTCAGAAATGGAAAAACAAACAAACCCAGAACAAAACCAAAAATCTATATATCCCCACCACCATCACTACTTTGAGTCAAATTTGAAAGACTGAACATTCTATCAAGTTCAGTTTAAACTGTCTAGGATCATTTACATAGAGTAAATGTTTTTAATGAAAGTAAGTTGAATGGAAGATGTCGACCAGTCAATTAAAAAATAGTAAATAGCTAAAGTTCTACCTCGCCTGTGCTCTTGATTCTCTATTGCTTTTTGGCTGGTTGATGGTAAAGGCCTGGTTGATGATACAGGGCTCCTTCTCCCAGCAGGTGCCGGAGCAGGTAAGTGGGCCGAGGCTGTCTGCACTGCTTGTTCCATGGTTGGGCTTTTTCTCAAAGGGTCTAACTGAGGGCTTGAACGACCTGAAACGTAACCAAAAGATAAGAAACTATCACTATCCTCTGGGGGTTTCAAAATCACCTAGATCCTAAAAATAGGTCTAGAGTTTTACTTCTACCAATTCAAATCCTCAGCACAATCTGAATCCATCTACTCATTAGACCAGAGTTTAAAACTGTTTATCTTTAGTGGGCTGGTCACTTGATCAGTAAAAATAAATAAAATAAAATAAAATAAACCCCAAAACAAACAAACAAAAAAACTCTGGTACAAAATCCCCCAGGAATATTATCAAAGATAATTTAGGCAGGTCAGATGTAGGCTTTCCCCAATAACCACAACCACCAGATTACACTGAGACTTTAGCCATTATTTCTAGAGGCTTTAACTTCTTTTAAAATTTATTTTTGGCTGCTTTGGGTCTTCCTTGCTGCGTGCAGGCTTTCTCTAGTTGCGGACAGCAGGGGCTACTCTTCCTTGTGGTGCACGGTCTTCTCATTGCAGTGGCTTCTCTTGCTGTGGAGCACAGGCTCTAGGCGCGCAGGCTTCAGTAGTTGTGGCTCCGGGCTCTAGAGCGCAGGCTTTGTAGTTGTGGCGCACGGGCTTAGTTGCTCCGCGGCATGTGGGATCTTCTCAGACCAGGGATTGAACCCGTGTCCCCTGCTTTGGCAGGCGGGTTCTTAACCACTGTGCCACCAGGGAAGTCCTAACTTTTTTAGTACTTTCTGAAGATATGTCTAAAGTGATACCCTTATATCTATAAGTATTATCTGCATTAAATTTCTATTATAAAGGAAGTAAAGAACTAGAAAGTCAGGTGAAGTTCTTCGATTCCTTAGAGTCTTGGGTAATTAAACATCAATACTAAAAGGCCAGCAACAAATAAACCCTTCAGATAATTACACAGTAGCCATACTCACCCTTTGCTGTTTGAATGATCACTTGGCAAATTTTTGCTTAATATGGGTTTTGTACTTACAAATTCCATTTTTTTCTTCCATGAGGTCAGAGCCTGGTCACAGTATGAACAGAAGAATGTAACACTGGGCGCTCCCATCATGCTTTTTGTCTCTAATGTTTGCCATAAATCTCCGCTCAAGATGCTCTCACATCCCATGATATTGCACCAAAATAGGTTTTGCTTTAAAAAATTGTCCTCATTTTATGTAAAAAAAAAATATTCCCAAATATGCTGCAAATGTTACTACCCACCTGTGCTATCTGCACAGGCTCCAAACTGGGGAACTGGTGAGTACTGACAGCACATTGGTTGTTGTGCACCAGGTGCTTCAGGGACTGTTTATTAGTAATACTCCCCAAATATATGGTTAACTAAAGTATGCAATTACAAATGTGTGTCACCATTTCCAGCATTAATGACAAAGTTTACTCTGCCATTAATAGAAACACTGTAATTTTCCCACTGATTATAATGGGAAATCATAGTGGTTTATACAAGTTTTGGTCTAAGAGAAAACATTTTGTAATCACTTATCACCTTATAAACAGATTTATTTGTCAAACAAGTGTTAAGTTTTTGGAAAAGCCTATTGTTTAGGTAATTTTATAATAGTACATTAAATGATCTTATAAACTTACAAAACTTTACTTCACTAAGGCTTTTCTTTAAGATCCTGTGACTCACAATATTACAGAACTGCAAGTGATAGGGCAATCACAGTAAGTAATAACTCACTGCTGTGTGTTTTTTTTTTTTAATATTTATTTATTTGGCCGCACTGGGTCTTAGTTATGGTATGCGGGATCTTTTAGTTGCAATATGTGGGATCTAGTTCCCTGACCAGGGATCAAACCTGGGCCCTCTGAATTGGGAGCACGGAGTCTTAGCCACAGGTAAGTCCCTGTATTTTGAAAACCTTTGTAATTAAAGTCTGGTACTACATCATGATGGCAATTTTGTTATAAATAGGGAAATACAGGTGATACTGGACATATTAGGAATAAACTCAAAAGCTCTTTTATAATAAACACACCCCCTCGAGTTATCTTCACATTCTTATTCTTACAGTTACAAGAAAATTCTAGGTGTTAAAATTTTATAAACTTCAAAAATTTTAGTTGGTGAAATCAAAATGCAGATTCCCAGGCCGCCTCTCCCATTGTTTTATTTAAACATACCTCTTTCTTCTAATAAATATGTAATTAAATTAAAAAAAATTTTAATCTATTCAAAACTTATTTTAGCCTTAAGTATGAGGGAAGGATTCTAGAGTTACTTTTCCAAGTGATCAGGCAGTTGTCTGTTCACAACATCATTTATTGGACGGATCATTTAGTAGTCTTTCTCTACTAATTTAAAAATAATATCTTTATCATATACTAATTACTTATTTATACTTGGATCTATTTCTGACTTTTGCTCTATTCATCTCTAAATTTATTCCTGTACTGCTTTATTTTATGTATACTTTATTAAGGAGGTAAGCCCTATCTAATTACTTTTTTTTTTTTTTTTTTTTTTGCGGTACGTGGGCCTCTCACTGTTGTGGCCTCTCCAGTTGCGGAGCACAGGCTCCAGACGTGCAGGCTCAGTGGCCATGGCTCACGGGCCTAGCCGCTCCACGGCATGTGGGATCTTCCTGGACCAGGGCATGAACCCGTGTCCCCTGCATCGGCAGGCGGACTCTCAACCACTGCGCCACCAGGGAAGTCCTCATTACTTTTATTCTTAAAACATATCTAAGTATACTTGCATGCTTATTTTTAAGATAGTCTGTGTATCTGTTTTATTAGGTTCTCTTACTATTCCATGTAGATTTATTGAAAGTACAGTAAATTTAATTATTATGAGAAATAAAGTC